TTTTTTTTTTTTTTTTAAACTGACTGTGGGCCTACGGCTCTGTCCTATTTCAAATAGGTACCTACCACGGGTCACAAGTTATACACAGGTAGAGAAAAATTTGTGAGGGAGACATCATACACATACATAAAATATCAGAAGAATGTCACTTTTGGGGACAGAGAAGGTTTTTGGATTAAAACATGTTTTAGAGCATGCTGAACATTATTAGAGGTAACATTATCAGCTATTTATTAATAAGTGACTTTTATGTATATATATGTGCCTGTATATATTGAGCTATTCTTAGTTAGTGTATTGTCTGTCCCTGTTAATGTTTGTTTATAATGGAGCACTATAAAATAATTTCCCCTATGGATCAATAAAGTATTCTGATTCTGATTCTGAAATCTAATTGGGGACGGTGTTTTGGTCCCCAAAGGGAGAGGAGTACTCAATTGACTGGTGTGTGAGCTGATAGAAGTCTCCAATTTTCACACAAGTAAACTTTCTCTCACACACACACACCAATTAAACACGTCACCAATTTCTAAGCATATTTTTAAAGTTGCTATCAACATGGAATCCTCAACAGATTCTTTGTGTCCCTTCTGTGAACTTTAGTTCTTTCCGTAGATCTTCAAGTAGATTCAGGTCAGGTGACTGCTGGGCCATTCTAGCAGTTTTATTTTCCTTCTCTGAAACCAAGTGTGAGTTTCTTTGGCTGTGTTTGTGGTTACTGTCTTGGTGAAACGTCCGCCCTCATTTCATCTTTATCATCCTTGTAGATGGCAGCAGATTTTTATCAAGAATGTCTCGGTACATTTTTCCATTCATTCTTCCTTCAATAATATGAAGCGTGCCAGTAACGTATGCTGGAAAAAGCCACACACCATGATGTGAACTGTTGTTAAGGTGTTTTTGGAGACATATTTGACCTCCAAACATGGTGTGTATTACAGCATCCAAAGAGTTCAGTTTTAGTCTCATCTGACCAGATTATATCCTTCCAGTATTTCACAGGGTTGTCTAAATGTTTTTCAGCAAACCTTAGACATGCTTAAGCAATGGAGTCGTATGTGGTGAGTGTGCATACAGGCCATGGTGGTTGACAGCAGTACTTATGCTTATTCCAGGTGTTTCTGTAGCACTTCATGAGTGGTCCTTGGCTCTCGGCAACTCTTTTGATAATTACTTGCTGTGTGTGTTTGCTGTTTGGGTGTGTTTGAGTCAAAGGGGGCAAAACACTGTTCATTTGTTGTTTGTTATTTATTATTGCAACATCCTAGGATATGTGCTGTTTTTCAGTCTGCTCATTTTAGCTTTAATTGTCCTGTACCATCTACCTGAGGGTAACGGCTCAACCAGGTGATGATCTTCTGTGTCGTGTTGATGACCTTCTGGAGCAGCCCACACTGGTGTGCAATATGCCAGTACAGATTCAACACAGTGTGTGTAGAAGGACACCTGCAGCTCCTTGGGTAGGGCTGTGGTGATGCCATCTGGAAAGAATCGGATTTGCAGCTGCTTCATTTTTATGAAAATGGTTCCAAACACAGCCAAAAGACACAGTAGGGTTGTCTAAATCATGGATTGGCTGCAGGTTCAGAGACTGTACTCCAATGTTATTGAAGCAATGTGGGATCATCTCGACACAGATCAGAAAGGGAGCCAGAAAAGAGTTTTGCATTTCGCTCAAGCAACCTGGAAAACTATTCCTGAAGGATACTTAAATAAATGACAAGGAGGCTGTTAAAGACTGTTTTTGACTTATATGCTGTACTTCCATGTATGTTTGCCTATTTTTCCAATAAATCGTTGCACCTATTATCATTTTTTTATTAGCAAAATATAAAGAAATGAAGTCTAGATGCATGAAGGAGCGTTTC